TTTGCTTATTAAGGAGTACTTGTGGTTTCTCCTTTGAATTCATATAAAAATTCTGAGCTCAATGTTATTATTGTGCAGACTATTTTTATTTTAAAAATTTGGAAGTAGCGATGCAGAAAGAACTGACAAAGGCAGGCAGATTTCAATTACCAGCTACTTCCACCACTCCTTGCTTTAGCTGAATCATCCTTGAATGTAAAATGTGTAGCTATAGCTAAACAATACTATGCATCTTTGAAAGAAAACTTCACATAGTGCACTTGAAGTGCCAAGCCCTGTTCTGTGTTTCCAGAATTGAGCAGAACACAGCTCTCTGTCCTCCTGTACACTACAAACAGCTTGCCAAGCAGGCAGAACATCACTACATGCTTAAGCAGGACTTTTCATCCAAGAGTCAAAAAAAACATCAGACAGTTAAATTTCACAACATTTTTGCAAGGAGAGTATTGTTGATTCCCTTTTTGACGAGGAGCAAGAAAAGCCATCATGGCCACAGAGACTAAAATCACAGTGCTAAAAACAAAGGGTATAAACCCTTTCTGAATTTCTAGTTCAATCCTGTAACCTCTGCTGCATGCACATTTAAAAGTATGATGAACAGCAATCAAAGATTCCCTGTAAGACACAACATGCTTAAAAGACCCTGAGAAGTCCCTTGGTTTGCTGTGACCTTAAAAAGCAGGACCAGTTATCACATGTGGGTAGCAAGGAGTGGCCTGAAACAGAAGTCTAATTTTTCAAGGGTGGTGTGTATGACCCTATTTTTCTTCCTCCAGTTTCACTTAAAGATACAGGCAGAGACCCTCTCCCAGCTGCTGCTGAGTCCAGAACGCAGTAGAAACCTGGGGATGCTGTATGCCATTTAGAAGGTGTCTTTGTGCTGTCTCTGGCAGGTACGCCACAGGGTATCTATCTCTGGCACATGTAGGAAAGAATTCAATGTGCAAAATGAAACTGAGAACAGTTCTTTATATAGCAGATAGAGACAAACTGGAACTGGCTGCAGGAGTTAATAAACAGTAAAGACCTAATGAATGCAGGAAATGGGTATTGACTGTAGAACTCTGTGAGATCAGTTGTAGACTAGTCTCTTGCTGGGAAAGAAAAGAGCACTTTGAATCAAAAGGGTATTTCCATGATTCAGGGAAACGCAAAATCTAATGGACTTCAAGCGAACAGCAAAACTTAAACCTAATACAGCCCACATTATGAAAGGGTGAAAAGATAAGACCTCTGTTTGCAAACAGGGATATATATAATCCATCCAAGCAAAGACTCAGCCAAGGAAACTGGAGACACACCAGAGCATTCCTTATCGCAGAGCAAATAGAAAGTGTGAAGGTCACCACAGAAAGTAAGTGGTCCCGGGTGCAGAACAGAAGAGAAACTTGTTTGCACACCCAGAAGCATCACAAGAATCCTAGTGACATACCAAATGCCAGGGGATTTTTAACTGTGCCCCTCTCTAATTGAGGATGAAGCACACACCAACACCATTATCTGGCCTGAAGGTACTGGCTTACAAAATATGGAACAAACAATAGGAACAGATGCTCATTTGGCCAGATTTCAATAAGCCTCATTAAAACCAAACACCCTGTCCTTGCAGCTCAGGTTCATGCTACATTTCTACCTTATTTAAGCACCTAGCACGAATTCCTGACAAAGTTGTCCACTTGTGGTTGCACACCAGTAGTATCATAAAAAGAAATCCTCTCACAGGCATTTTTCGGTTTCTAAAGAGACAAACAGAAGGAGTTTATATATATGTGTGTGTGTGTGTACACACATATATAAAAACAATTAGAGATTGCATTTCCTTTTTAAAGACATTAGGTTAAATATACATCAGACTTGTTGATCACTCAAAGCCAATGGACAAAAAGATGCCAACAGATTAACAGAAAAACACCTGAGGACAGAAGAGAATTGATGTTACAGATCACAGAGGTCATATCTGTGCATCACAATATATAATTTTTCATTTAAAATCCAACCTCTTCAGTCAAAACATGCACACACTTGAAAAAAATTCTACTGCTCCTTATTTGCTTCTACCCAAATATGCCCAAGTCTCAAAAACAGAGTTTCAGAGGACAAATACCAGAAAAGCAGGGCTAAGAACAATATACAAAGATTCATCAGAACATGATTTTCTAGTTTAATTTTTAAATGTCTGAATAAAACTATATAATCCATATGTTTGCAAAAGCCCCTGAGCACGTGGCTGCACAGGTGGCATGACATCGTATAGAAAACCAGGCAGACAAGGTTTCCTAACAAACACAGACTTCCTTGAGTGGTCAAAAAGACAGCAGCCCTATGCTACTTTCCATACTTGAAAATGTATATCTGTTTATAATATACTTCTTTTCCCTCTATTTTAGAAAGAATGCCAGTTGTTAAGTTGGTAATTTACATCTGGATGTCCTGTACAGAAGCACTCGTTCACAAGAGAGCTTGATGGATGGACAGTGCTTCAATCTTGAAAAAAAGATATCTCAATATTGATGTGTGTGGCCTCAAGGGAAATTTCATTTCATTCTTTGAATAAACTTTAGAAACATCAAGCACACGATCAGTAAATAGCATTAATACAGTCTTAACAGAGCACAGTTTTCTTTTTTGCAAGTAGGTGCAGAATCAGAAATTCTGTTTTCAGAAAAACTGTCGCGTCTTGCAGACTGACTGACATATCTGACAAGCCTGCGATAATGCTGACTGTGCCTCCCAGTTAGGGCTGATACTACACTGCAGAATCAGAAAAGGCAAATCATGATTTCCAAAGTAATCCTTTTTGTCTTTCACTGCCAGTTAAAAAAAAAAAAAAAATTGAAAACCCTACAAAACTTTTGGAAAAGTGCTACAGATAAAGAAACCTGCAGTTATACTTTCCAGTACTCATCCTCTTCACAAAACATTTTAAAGTCCAAGGCTGTAAGACACATCAATCATGGAGGATAAAACTCACCATGTGCATAAGGCTAGAAGTCCTCTGAACTCCTTAAATCCCATTTAAGCCCTTCACCTAGGGAACATTTAACAGTTGTGCCATTTGCTTATGCCATCACTAAGCCATCTGCATTTAGCTAACTGGATTTATAAATGCTTCAACACTTCTGGAATTTGAAAGACAAGTTTTCTTAGAACCTATTTCATTTTGGTTTGTAGCTGGGAAAGCAAAGTAGTACAAGAGCCAGGCAAGCCAGTACTAGGGAAATTATATCCCCAGAAAAGTCCTTATGTTTTTTACATGTATATATATGTTTTTTCATATATATATGTGTGTGTGTCTGTGTGTGTGTGACAGCAGATTGTCCTACAGCATATATACATATATATTGTCCTACAGCATATAGAGACACAATACTTAAAAACATATGCTTTTTCATCTCCAGGGTGATGGTTTAAATTCACCCTCAATAACATGAAACAAGTCTTGCTGTTCCTGCCTTGAGCCCTACCCACACATCTCGCCATGATCCCACTGAAAACACAATTTTAGGAGAGTTTATTATTTGGGGCATTAGGATGTTAAAGGTATGTCATTTCATTTACAAGAGGCATCACTTAAATTAGCTGTAGTTCTTGCACATCCTTGCTCCTTAGTAAGATGATCAGGTCAAACAAGATGCTATAAAGCTATAAAGATGGGGTTGAATGGGTTTACTCTAGTTAGCTTGCTGTGAGCTGCTTCATGGCATCAGAATGATGCTGCATGACGATATAATTCAGTCAGCACTGCTCTGGCATCTTGCTTAAAGAGTTTCACCCTACTTTGTATCACAAAGCACCTTAGGAAGTAGTGTGCAATACCAGTCATCTTGAGTTAAGAATGGAGGTGTTGGTATTAAATATTAGTACTTTGTACCAAGATTGGTAGCTTCTCTCAGAAGCACTTCTCCAGTGGAAGGTAACCTGGCCTGTCAAGCACAGTTTATGAGTGCTAAGTCACCTGCAAGCACCATGACAAACTTTTATGATGGCCAATTCCCTGACAGGAATCAAAAGTAATGGGACATCCAAATTTCACCAGCAAAATCCCAGCAAAGATTTAGCTGGGAAATTATCTCAAAGGTCAATACAAAAGTGGCCCCCGAAGGGACAAGGCACCTTTAACAACCATTCAAGTATGAAAAAAAAGACTTCAAGAAGATCAAGGAATAAATAACCGAAAGAGAAAACAGGCTTTCGAGTGGTCAGGTTTGTGGTGACAGAGGAGCAACAAAATGCCAGCTGGTTTCAGTAACAGATGGCTGTGTGCACTGATCTGTCCTGCATGTCCATTCTAAACTTCCTTTCAGTGGAAATACGAAGCTTACACAAGGCTAAACACAACCTTCGCACAGCCTTTCTTTACATATTGCGTCACGGTTCAAATGTTTTCCATTCACAAACAGCCCTACATGTATGTTGTTTTACTCTAGTTAAATTGAATTTTAAGAAAAGAGGGTGGCTAATGGCACCTCATCTTTGCCAACCACATTCAAGGAAGGACTTTTCTCTGACAGGCAAATATATATTTTCTTACCATTCTAACCGCCACATCTCCCTCCTCCATTTCTCTTAAATACAGCATTCACTGTATTTTAATTGGAAGGTCTTTCTTTTTGCGCCCCCTCTCTGGTAGTGAAGAAAGGAAACCATGATATAAAGAGCTCTCATGCAGTATTTTTAGCATGTATCTGGACATTTATCATTTGAAGTTGCCACAGCTAATTACATGGCAGGCATAGGTCATCCCACTGGAAAAGCCTATTACTTGCATAGCAGAATGAACCCTTCAATCCTAGATAGCTCAGGACTCAAATAATCCTTTCCAACAGAGAAAAACAGCAAGTCTGAAATCTCTACACTGAAGGACAGAAAAGCCTACCCAAAATATTGCTTTCTGTTTAAATATTTTTTTCTAACTGTAATTTTTAACAAGAACTTTTCTTTGATTAACAATGAACAATCTGCTAAAAACCCCTCAAAACCAAAGCTGTTCTCTTACTTACTTTGGCCACACAATTTTCAGTCTTCATAGCAGTGCTTCCTAGACATACTGTTTCCTGGTTTAAGCACAGTCTGGCACAGCTGTTGTAGGTCTGCAGAAAGATTAAAATGGTTATCAATAGAAGAACACGATTTTCTTTCAGGCACCACATTTTTGGCACAGGAACCCACAACAACTCTACTATATTTCCTTTTTCCTAAGGTATAAACGTTTAGAACCAAAATAAACTAGTTTACAGCAAAAGCCTATGTTCAGGGCATGCATGTCCTCTGAGAAGCTATGTACAATTTTATAGTTCTGAGATACGAAGAAAAAAAAAAGACTTTTCTCCTCTTTTCCTTTGAAAAAGGAAAAAAAAAATCTGACCTCAGTCATTCGGTCTTTCACAAAATGCTGCATAACCGAACAACTAAAGCAAGGTGATTTCTACACACTAGTTATCACAGTGTATGGCAAATGTTAATAAATGTCGCCTGTCTTTATCAGGTAAAAATACATGGGGACAGTACGAACGTTATAATCAGAAAGGAGCAAATGCAGACATCTCACCTGTTGTATTTTGTATTTAATCTTCCCAATTTTGCAAAACTTTTTCTTTTAAAGTAGAATGTCTTTTTTCTTTAACTCATACACTGTCCTGCCCAGGGGACCCCCTCAGCTGGGGCTGCAGACTTGGGAGTCTTTGTGTAACACATCACCCGTAGTCCCTCCCTTTTTTAAGGACAGCATATGAACAGTACTTATGAACTGTGCCTAAAATTATACTTTGGTTGATTTGGCTATTTAAACTAAGATGCCTGAAGAACTCAGGATTTTCTAATGGAGGCTACACACACACACTTTGAACACCTGTTTAATTACTACTTGACTAAGCTCATTTGCTAGTGGGAGTAAGATCATAGTAGCACCTAAGAGCTCCAGTATTGGATTAACACCCTAGTGCCTGTCACCATTTACAGAAAACTGCTCCCAAGCAAAAGTGGCAGCCCAAAAGCAAGCACAAACTTGCTTTGATGCAAGAGTAGTAAGTGGACCACAGAGAAGATGTTGCTACCTCAGATAGTTGTGTAGGGAAAACCCAAGAAGCATGTTGAAAGAGAACGAAATTAAACTTGCTACAAAGACATTTCCAAAAGCACTAAGTAAACCATACTAACATTCTTGATATTTTTAAAATTGCCTTAAGGGGAAGACGCACAAAGATTTGTAGTGAACTGTCTGTCAGTTCTCTCCCTGTAATATTTGCTGGCAATCTCTGAAGATCCTTCTTTCAGGGCTTGCTACGGATTTCTATTTGTTTCATCTGAAACTAATTCAAGCCCAAACCTGCCACAGGTTACAAAACCTGCAGGCAACACTGGCATGCTAGGGGCTCCTAAACCTCTCCCTCTGCTCCAAAGCTACGTCACCAGAGCCAGATTCCCTCAGCACCAAGCACCAACAAATGATGTCTCCTTTTTGCCCTTCTGCCACAAGCCTGACTGTGCAAGATGTAGTCAGTAACAATACACAAACCAGCAGAGGAACATATTGCAAAGGACATCAGAGGCAAGAACGCAAAGAGATTAAAAAGGGGATACGCTGAGCGATAAGAGATGATGTCCACAAACCCAGTGCTCCTAACAGTCTCCAGCTCAGGAGGACAGTAAGCAGCAACTGATGGGAACTGAGTGTTCACAATCAGTTTATAACATTATTCACCTAAGTTCTTATGATCCTCATTAAACACTCCTTACTGCCCACCATGGGAAATCAGTGTACTGGCTCGCATGGATCCGTACTGGTCCAGCACAGTACAGACACTCTCGGGGAAATTCAGGAAATCACAGTCCTTTCCACCTTACTTCCTTACACACTCCCTTTAAAGTTCACCATGAAACAGAAACAAAAAGGAGTACAGAAGCCCTATCTTCTCCATTGCTTTAGCAGTTCATGTTTTATTTCTCAGTGAGCTCCCTAAGCAGAAAACAACCAGTGACAGACAGGAATGTAGAATATCCTGGCTCCAGCAGATCTCCTTACGAGTCATAACATTGATATCTGCTGTGACTAGCAGCCAGCTAGCAATTTCTGACTCTGGATCCAGAAGGAGAAACTGAAAAATTCAAACACACGAATCCTTTCAAAGTGCCGTGAAGATGAACAGAGTGCATCTTTCAGCAGCAGAGGTTCAGATTCAAACTGGGATTAGGCCACAAGCAAACAGAAGTCTGATGGACTCAACTTAGCCTCTTGCAAATATTTGCCAACATCATAAAACCATCACTCTGGTATGCACAGAAATTTCTCCTCAGAAGAAAGATTAGAATGGCATAAACTACTATAAATTGTGGTTTAGATGTAGCGGTCCAACTGGTGGACAGAAAGTTGACACCATCTGCTTTGCACTGGCATTCAGACAATACCATGCAAACTTCATTTTATAAACATTGTGTTAGTTAAATTCAACCACATTCTAAAGGTGAAAAACCATTAAGAGTTGACAAGTTTCTTTGTTCAATATTTACATTTGTAATTTAACCCATTTATCATAAATGTGTGACTTCTTTCATTTCCAATTTAATTCCTAAAATTCCAGTAGCAGTATTTCTGCACAACTTATCTGCTGCATACTGTAAATTTTATGGGGAGCCCTGACTCAAAGAAAGCTACTACTAACTCTACTTTGCAGATTAAAAGCTCAGCCACATAAAACATTTACTGAAAGCAACATGGAAGCCTGTGGCTCTATGGACTGAACCATGAACCAAACTCAGATCTTGTAGGTCTTCTTCGTCCCAAGACAAGTATGCACAAACCTTGGTAGCAAGCCAGCTTTTTAAAAGCCAGGCTAAAACAGGCTTTCTCTCACATTTAACAATGAGTAAGAGTAGACAATCCAAATACACAATGTGAAAGACTATATGCTAAATGTGAAAACCCTAGAACTTTCTGAGAAGGAAGGAAGCTCACTATGGCACTATTCAAAAGTTGTGTGCATGTCAGAATGTGGATATAAATAATTATTCCAATGTACTGCTTAATTTTTATTACTTTCATCTGCACAGTACACCTCAGTGTGAACAGCACCAACTGAACTTCCGGCGTAACTTGTTCATCAAATCCCACAATACCAGGCCTAGTGACACTTGATGGAACTAGAGTAGTATAAATTTAAAGCAGATAAAATGAAACACTTCTTCACACAGCAGGCAGTGAACTTCTGGTGCTTGCTGCCCAGGACACTGTGGGGAGAAACAACATCAGCAAGTGGAAAAAGGGATTAAACAAACTCCTGGACAGCAGGTCCACAGAGGACTTGGCAGAGATATCCCCCAGACATCCCTAGTACAGTGGTAGATGCTGCAGGAGCAGAAGGGGAACGGAGCAGCCAGAGCCGTTTGCTCTCATTCAACAGCATCTTCCACTGACAGTGCTGGAGTCAGCATTGGATGAGCAGACTCTGGGTCTGACTGACCTGGGCATTCCCATGCTATCAATATCTCTCTGCCCTTTGACAACATGCCACCAATACTTAAATTCCTCCTTCCCAACCTTTTCAGCCACAGAAAGGAGAGAACAACATGCTTTTACTGTGAGAATCAACTTTTACACAGTAATTTTATTATGTAAAGATCTATATAAGTGCCAAATTACCAGATGACCATTTAGTCCTTCAGCAGCTCTTTCTCAATAAAAGTAGTGGGGAAAAAAAGAAAATTCACAGGAGTATGTATAATGGATTCAACCCATCAGGATGCAGATTTGAGAATAAAACATACAGTGATCTTCAGTTTGACAGCCATTACTATGTTTGCAACGTTACAAAGTTCTTCTGTTCTTAATTTTCACATTCTCACAGAAGAATGCATTATTAGCCTTGTGGGATGAATAAAAAGGGTAAAGAAGATTCATGTGCATGTTCTACAATATGTTTAAAAAAGTTTAAAGCAAAAACTCAGGACAAAGCCTAGTTCTCCCTTAAAGTCCAGGGGGGGAAAAAGTAATGTCACTCTACTTAATAGGTCTTGATGGAAAGTTGTTGACAATGTTGCAAAGAAGCTGCATTTGGCCCACGAAGTCAAGTCATAAGAAGCTGGGAAAATATATTATGAAGGTAGTACTATATGGTTGCCTTATAATGTTTCTCTGTAGGCAGCAGTTACTGGCTACTGTGAGACACAAGATTACTGATGGACATGGAGATTTGATTTCATCTATTTGTGTTTGTACACTAACAGTTACTAGTGAATAGACCTAACTGAAAGCAGAATTAATGTCCTATCATCAGGTAATAATGCAGAGCCCTACATTTTAGGTGAAACATTTGATGGTGTCTCATGCTACACTGCAACATCAGAGTACGTCCTTTCATTTGTTCCGATGCCTGTGGGAACACTGACTAACCTGGAAGAAAACCAAGAAAATCAAAACCAGAACCAAGCCTCAGAAAAGCAAATTTCTCAAGCTCACCTTTAAAGCTCAACCCTTTTGCGAATCTCATCTAATTTGCACCAAAACTGTTCAAGTTTCTCCTCACCTTTCATCAAGATAAGAGGTTTCTTCACCAAGGAAAAGCAGTGTGAAATGGTAGCCTGGTTCAACACCACAGGCAGATAGCTTTGCGTTGGAGTGCTTTAATATGTTTTTATATTGCATATAAAGCATGCAAACATAAACCAGTTTGTTGAAAACTACTCTCTTTGTGGAAGCTGGCTGTAATTCTGAACAAGTTTTCAATTTTCGCACTGCTGCTAGGGTAAAACATTTTAAAGAGTTTAATTTTTACAGTGGCTTCAATGACACGAGATTATCTAACAAAGTAATGGTTAATCAATAGAGGGTTTAGTTGTCAGGTGAAACATATAACACACTAAAAGGGATTGATTGCAAGGCTCCTCCTTATTTACTGGGAGGTATATATTTAAAATGACACAAACTTGTTACCAAGCTGCATTCTTTTAACCTTGCAAAAGCCGTTTGAGAAGAGTGTTAAGCAGCCCTATAGCAAAACAAGCTCTAATGAAAAAAAGAAAAAAAAACCCTACAAATATATGGGAGCACCAAATCATGTCAGAAGCAGGGGAACCACAAAGCTGTATTCACTCTCAG